GGAAGAGTTTAGGATTCCCAACTAAGATAACTGCCTATTTTCAGATATTACACAGACATTTATATCTGTGCTGTCTTTGTGGCTTAAGCTCGTACTATTTGAATTTTCCTTTCGTAAGTTACGTGGATAAAGATTTGAAATGCTGTTAAATTTTAAAATTCCATCAGCATTAGTTACTGGCAGTATTTGAGTAACTCAGTTTTCCAGTAGTAGTAGGCAATATACAGCTGATTTATAACAGTTAAGCAAAAGTTTCGCAAAGGGAAGTAAACTCAGTCAGATAACAGCTCAATAATGTGTTTTCTCCAACATTCTTTCCTGCTTGTGTTGTTTACTGCTCTCTGTATGTAAGTAAAATTTATTAGTGAAGTAAAACTGCCTCAGTGCTCTGTGTTGCAACTGACTGCCCTAAATCTAAAGTGCAGATTCATTTTAAACTCGGTTCTTATTCTTGACTCCATTGTTTTTGGGGAGGAATAACCAACGCTTACTACTTACTTTTACTTTTAAAATATTTATTTATTTTTACAGCGATGTTAAATTAATTTTAGGGGAAATGTACACAAAGTTCTAATAGCTGGGAATTGCACAGCAGGACATTTTTAAGCACTTTTGTCTATATATTCCTCTCTGTAACAGCGATACGCGTCGATTTCTGCCTTTGCTTGGCTCTGACTTTTCAAAGTGCCTCGATTAATTTTTGCCACGGTGTAGCCCCAAGTAATTTATTTTTATACTTTATAAAGTTTGCAAGAAAACAGCATTTGACATTTTAAATGCCCATGTTAAAAATATTTCTAGGACACAAAGATTGAGAGGAAGTTTCACTTCAGAAAATTACTGTGTCTTGAATTTCTTTATGGGACACCAAATAGTTTCCTAGAAAAAACATTTGGGTTGATGCACATGCTCATTTCTAGTTAGCAAAGGTCATGTTTTTCTAAGAAACCAGTACTCTGAGATTGAATTACCTTATTTCGAGGATGTTGTTTTGCTCAGAAGCCGTCTTGAGCTGAAGAACTTCTCACAAAAGACTTGAACGAAGTGGTACTGTACCTAAAGCACTAACTTCAGTCATCAGAGGTTATTTTGTTATAATTACACAGACATCTGAGACAGAGGTGAGAAGAAAAACCAGTTTGTCTGAGTTGTTTCCAGATGCCCTAAACTACCAGAAGATTTAATTGCTTTATGGGGGCCAGGCTTGTGGAGAGAGCACGTATTTGATCAGATAAACCTGGGAGAAACGAAGTTCGGGTAGCCCATTGTTCGAAGCCTCCTACGAACGTAATGGTCCCGAAGAAGGAAGGTGCAGGGGGAAAGACAGGAGGGAAGAGAGAGAGCAGAGGAAACTCTGGAGCAGGCACAGTAGCTGAAGCGACATGATAGATATGGTGCTGTTTTCCTTAGCAACTGAATCCTGCAGTGTAAGCCGGGTAGTTTCACCCCCATCCTCCGTAACTTGGAAACCTATAAAAAATGAGCAATTGTTTTAACTGCAGGGAAAAAAAAACCCACCACCTACTCATTTGGTTTTGACTCGACAGATATTCTTTGGACTTTGGTTAACCTAATCTGAAACCAGAACTTCTTTTATAGCACATACAGCCTGTCAGAACAGACATTTGACTTAAATTCTTAAAATACTTTTTCTGTGTACTATTATGCCTAACGCTTTTACAGTCTTATCAAACCTTTGTGACGCGAAGGAAGTGTAATATTTACATATCGGAATATATTTCCACAGCTGAAGAGATACGCAGGCTTCTAATTCCAGTTTAGTCCCAACAGTCTTTTTAATACAGTTTATATTGTGGAGTCACTGTCAAATATTTTCATTTTGATGGTCTGAAGGCTGTGTTGAATGAAGCTTTCCGAAACTGGCCTTTCGGAGAATTTGATGTCCCGGGGTCTAGTGGACCGGTTCTTTTTTATAGAATTTTGAATGGTGTCCGATGTGAAGTAATAGACTATAGGGTCGAAACAGCAGTTTGAAACGGCGATGCAGAGAGTGATGGGGTACATAGTCCTGACGGCGGTTACCACCGAGCAATTAATCCAGGTCTGTGTTCTCATAAGAGAGTAAAGTATTAAGGTAATGTTGTAAGGCACAAAGCAGAAGCAGAATATCACCAAATGGACAAAAACCATTTTGAGTACCTTTTTCTTGCTTAATTTATTCCGACTTAACGTAAGCGGTTTATGCAAGGTCCGCAAGACCACGGTAGAGCAGGTGACGTTCAGGAGGAGTGGAATAAAAAACCCAACGATCTCAATGAAGATAACAATCCGGGATAGGTAGGTTTTCCACGTGTCCTCCGAGAAGTTTTCAAAGCACGTTCTTTGTTCGGTGTTATTACGGCGGTTTGTAGACTGGAAGAAGCTTGCCGGCGTGCTGCCCGCTAACACGGTTATCCATACGGCGGCGCAGACAATTTTTGCGTTCCTTTTGGTTCGGAGAGTCTTGGATCGGAAGGGGTGGACTATAGCTAAAAAGCGATCTACGCTTATGCAAGTCAGGAATAAAATGCTCCCGTACATATTTGTATAAAAGAGGGTGACGGAGATCTTGCAGAGAATGTCTCCAAATGGCCAGTTTCTTGTTACGAAGTAATAAATCCTGAAGGGTAAGGTAAACACAAAAAGCAGATCCGATATTGCTAAATTAAGCATGTATGTTGTAGTCTCGTTTCGCACTTTTAATGTACAAGTAAAAATGTAGATAGCGACGCAGTTTGCTATGAGGCCAAGAACAAACACCATACTAAAAATACACCCATATAAAGTATATTTAAAGGAGTCCTCAGTGGAGCAATTAGAGCTTACCATTATAGTGGTATCTTTAAAATTCCTGTGATTTGGAGCTTGCTCTGGTATTTTTTTACTGCGACTTTTTTTAAATTCCAGAAGGACTTGCAGAGGTCTGTGGAGTGGGTGCTTTGGGAAGCTTGTGGCACTGTAAAGCCTCAGAGAAGAAACCCAAGCTCGGTAGTAGGGGAGTACATCTCCAGCAGTAATCACCAGGAGGTCACTCTTCTCTTCCAAGTGCTATTTGTAATCACATCGCCAGTCCTCCAAAGTCAAAAACCGTATCATTTGTGGCAGATGAGGTCATCCCCACCCTTGCCTAGTTCCATCTTCCTTTTCGGTTCGATGAAGCCGTTGTAGATCTGCCTTACACTTGGCCGCAGATCATGACGGCAAAGCCTCGTCCATCCAAACGTGCCGGGAACGTTTGCTTTAGGAAACGATTTCCTGGACGCTGCAAAGTGCCAGCGCTTGCATTTCTCTCTCAGCCTCCTTTCTGTAAAACGAGCTTTTCGGCTCCTCGCCTCACGGGGCGGGAAGTGAGCTGCTTGCGAGGGCAGAAACCCAAATTCCAGAGCGTGTTTGTTCCTGCCAGAGTCCTGCAGCCCCTCGCCAGCCAGGCTCCTTCTGGAGCGGAGAGAAAAGAGCTCTGGCAATTTGTAGCGTGACATCACAGGAAGAAGAGGTTGGACTCTGCTGAAGAATGGTTTCAGTTCAGTTTGTTTGCCTTCCCCCTCATCTGATAATGCGTCTGCTGGGACTGTACCTTGCAGGCGTGCAAACAGGCACCAGCCGAGTGCTGCTGCAGCCTCCTGTTAACTCTTTCACTACTCCCCAAAAGGTGCCTTTGTCAGTGTTGCAGGAGACCAAAAGCTTCATCACAAAAATCTTCAGTTATGAGGAGCCTTTTCACACCTTTCAATTCCTGTCTTTTTTCTTTGGAGATAGCAGTAATTATGGGATGTTATATTTTATGTAGGATTGAATTAACGTTACATTTTGTTGATAGATATCTTTGCTGGTGTTAGATCTAACAAGTTAATCGCCAGAAATCAGCTGAGTGGTTCTGTCTCCATTCCCTCAATACACCAATACAAACCTCGGGAAGGACAAAGCAACATTTGATAGGTAATTAAATAATTTCACCAAATAATTACGCTAAGAGGGAGACATAAATAATATAAACCTGTGGATTGATCTTTGGATATTCCCAGGACTGAGACGTCTTGCAGTGGCAGGAGAAATTTTTAACTTGTTCTGTATTAGAAAGCATGTTCCAAGCTCTGTTTCTAATCAGAAAGGTGTTTGGGTGTTTTCTTTTTTTGCTTGCCTTTTTTTTTTTTTTTAAATGCTTCAATTAAAAAAAAGAAATTGTGATACAGAAAGCATTTTCTTGAATCTGTAAGCACAGAATTAATATACCAAAATAAATACTGCACTTTGCGATTGTTTCTGATTTTGTGCATGTGCAATAACTGCCCCACTTTATACTCCCATTAGTCACTGATTACTGAAATGAAAACATGTTGTAACTAATTAAATTGTTAAGTAAACATTAAAAAAAAAAGGCAGCTCTTACTGCCTTTGGGGCAGATAGGAGATAAATCTCAGTTTAGATAGACATATTTAACAACAGCTTGGATAGACTCACTTCTGGCATCAAAACCAGTCTATTTCTAAGTCTTAGAATAACAAATCTCTTCATATCTGGCTGGGTGGCATGGTTCTTTTGAACTAGATTTTAATCAGTTGTACCTAAGCAAGGCTCTGGGCAAAGCCTTTCTAATCTGCTGTAACACAGAGTAAATAATGGCACTTCGTAGGGTTTTGGCGTAGTTTCTTCATGTAAGGCATGTCAGACAAAATTCAGAAACATGCAAAAATGGGTCTTGCTTATCTTATTTCATGTTTTCTGGAGAAGTTTCTTCTGTGAAGCTCACCTTGGTTTTGAGGTGAAATCCAGCAGTTTGACCTCAGTAGGCTGTAACCACAAGGAACCTTTTTGACTGCGTTTGAAATACATACTTAACCGTAGAGCGTAGCGCATTTTCCACTTCTAAGCCAGTGTGAGATGAAAATGTGAGCTTGGCAGAGTCTCTTGTCTGTCCAGCTTAACTTCTGCCTTCGCTTAAAGCTGCCTTACCTGGCTTCCCTCACAAAAGCGGTCATCGCACGTGGTTAAATTTTGTTTCTGTTCCTGGCATCCTTGTGCGGTCAAAGTGGGGTTTTCCTGCCAGAGCCTGGGAGTTCTGCATCAGGCCTTGGGAGCTCTGAGCTGTTTTCCTGCTCTGGCTTTGTTTGCGCAGGAAAACTCCGTGGGGCAGGTGCATTTACTGGAATGAAAATCCCTGAAGTACAGAAATTTGACGTCACGTGTCAAAACTTCAAGCAATATTTCATGTTTCGAGAGAGAAACGAATGGAAATGAGTAGTACCTGATCTTCTGTGTGGGCGAAGGAGTGGGTGCGGAGAGAAAGGGTGGGGGTGTCTGACCAGGGCCACTGTCCGTTTTACCGTGATAAACGGGTTTCGGAGCAATAGGGAAGGTTCATCCTCGGCCTTCACTTTGTGTGTCAGAGCCCCTGCCGTGCGGCAGCCCACGCTGTTGCTCCTGTTACAAACGCGGGTGCTACTCAGGGCTGCGTTGCAGTGGCTCGGGTGTATGCTCCTGTGGTCCTTGAGCCTTTCTCCTGCCCCCACCCCTCTTATGGCGCAGAACAGTAGGTGCACTTGACGCTAATTGAAGAACTAAGCGATATTTGTATATTGCAGAAATAGCATTCAGCTGCAGGGTTTCTCCACCTGCAGAAGAAAACTGGAAACCCCAAGTTGACAGACTTTTACTCTGTGTCGTGTTCCAGTGAGTAGGTACCTGACGGGGCGGGCAGTCCGACTCATTTTAGCGCAGAAGTGTCCGTGGCAAAGGTGAATTGCGTACCCCTTCTCTTTAAATTAGGTGGGGCTGCTTGTTATGAAGCACTTCTTTAATCTGTGTGAGCTGCTTTGAGCTGAAGAACCGGCGTTAGTGCGTTCTGAGTCGAGAGCAGCCTCGCGTCTGGCCAGGCTCCAGCACGGGATCTTCACTGCGCGCTTTCCTTTTGTTGGATCACGTTCCAAGATGTTTGGCTCTGTGCCATCAGATTTCGAAATGGCTTCAGTTAAGCCCCGACGCTTCAAAAATAAATAAAAAAAAGGGTTTGTCAGTTATTATGGAGAAAGAGTTGACATGGTAATGACCTTGCTTATGTTCTTTCACAGCGGGCAAATTTTCCTTTGGGATGGGGAGGTGGGGCAGGCAGGAGGAAGCAGCTGCGGGGAGGGCTTTGTACTCTGGGTTGTTTTCCACCAAAGGAAACAAAGCTGCCACTGAAGGAAGATGCATATGTAAGTCTGCCTGCCCTTCTGTGTGAGAGACGGGAATGAGTTAGGACCCGTCATTCGTTGCTAGTGCGAGACGAGCAAAGACTGCGTTTCCATCGATGGGCTTCCTGTGGCTCCTGACGGAGCATCGAAAGCGGAACGAGCGTGGGCTCCTTAAAGCCGAGAGATGCTTGAAATCATCTCACTTCAGCAATGAACCGATTTTGTACCCTCCTTCAGTTGGTTGCCACTTAACTCTTCTTATATGAGTTTAGCTACCGGGGTTTAGATATCTAGAACTCATTACACCCTTGGGCGATCTTGGATTTGTGTGGCAAACCTATTCCCGCGTTGAGCAGGGATTGGAAGGGAAAGTCCTTACAACCCCCGTGCGCTAGTAGAGCAGCTGTAGGACACTGCCACCAACAGCTGCTGCTTCCTCCTACCCCTAGATGCCACAGCATTGGATACCTGCTCTCATCTAGGACACAAGAGCAAGGATCACTTAAATTTTGAAGTCCAAATAGAACGATAAAGAAATACTTCATTGAAATAAAACAGGTATTGGAAGGCTTTCCAAGCCTTCAGAGTTGTTTTGGTCAGTGTAGCCTGTTCCCCTGGCGGTACCCTTGTCTTCAGTGCCAGAATCAAACAGAAGTTGTAGTCAAAGGCAAAATGAGTTTTAAACTTGTGTACTGCATTTAATCTGGTATTGATGCTACTGCTGAAAGCTCTTGCTTTAGAGGGAAAAAACCCCAACTTCAACATTATTAATGTAATAAATCCTTAGAGTGCTGCCAAAGCCAGCCTATGCACTGTCACGTGAAGGTTGTCTGGTGCACCAAACACTAAGCAATCATTATTCTGTAACTAATGGCACTACCTTAACTGTATCACGGTACAGGCATTTGGGTAAGCAAGTGTGTGCAAAGAACTTGTGCTATCTGTTGCAGTGAAGACAAACCCTGTCAGAACACTGGTTTCTTTGCCCTAAGTGTTATTGTTTATCCAATAATTTTCCTTGGTTTTAGCATTTTTAGTCTATTTACTGGAGTTTTCTTGGAGCATCTGAATGTTCAGGAAGGAACTTCTTACGGTTGAGACACAGGGCTGGGAGGCAGGAAGTCTTTCTGGCTGTGCCACACATTTTCTGTTCCAATCCTGGCGAGGTTTTCTATGACTTTGTGCTTTAACTTCCCGCCGTGTAATAGCTCATTCACTTCCTTACTGGGTTGTGAGACCATCTTAACTGTTAAATATTGTTTGGATGGAGAACCTTTTGCTAAATATGATGCTGAGATATGTACAGTGGTTAGTGAATGCAATAAAAATGTAGGAAGTTTAAAATTTTGTATTTTTAGATTAAATTCCTGCCAAGCAAAAGGATCTATGAAAACACATTACTTGGTTCTATTCCATGATTTTTTAGGGAAGTAGGAACAGAGAAAGCAGGGCTGGGAACTTGGAGCTTCTCAGCTACCTTTAAGGAGCTGTCTGCTCAGATATACCTAAGTTGCTGTAAGACTGCTTCTGGTAAGAGGCTTACTGCATTCTCCCCCTCTACTCTGCTCTGGTGAGACCCCACCTGGAGTGCTGCGTCCAGCTGTGGAGCCCTCAATATCAGAAGGATATAGACTGGTTGGAGCGAATCCAGAGGAGGC